CACAGTAGTTAAATACAGTCAGTAGTGTCTGGGTGAACATTCTCATTTGGTGAAATCTCTAGCGAGGCACTGATTCTGCTAAACGAGAGACTGATTCAAAGACAGAATTCAAAGTGGAGCTACACCATGTGCTAAATTTCATCTAAATGAATTTGCCATCTTCAAAAATAATAATAATAATATTGAATGTCAAATATATGTCAATAAAACAAATGTAGTAGGGGAAGTAGAAGAGGAGCAAGCAATTCCAGTGTCAACAGCGCAGACAGGTCTGACTGCCATTCTATTCTCTGACTCTTGTGCTGCAGAAAAAGGGCGGAGACCCTCCCCCCACCACACACACACACCCAGGGGACAGCCCACTCTCCCAGGCCCAGCTCCCACCCACAGTGCAGGCTCCTGAGTCATCCCTGGCTGGGTGACCCCCCACCCACCATGCCCCATTTGGGTTTTTGGCTTTTGTTTACCACTTGTTTCCTGGATAAAATTCCCTCCGTTGAACTGCCCAGTATGGCAATGTTTGCCTGACTGACTCTTGAGTGATGGTGTTCAAAGTTAACTTGGGGAAAATTGACATCGTTGGGGTGCTGTCCTTCTATCCAAGAACATGATGTGTTGTTGTGTCTTTCCAGTAGGTCAAGCCATGGAGTTTCTTTTCTTTTTATTTATTTATTTTTTGGGTTTTGAGAGAGAGAAACAGAGAGAGAGAGAGAGAACAAAAATCCGTTTGTTGTTCCACTTATTCATGCATCCATTGGTTGCTTCTTATGTACACCCTGACCGGGGATCAAACCCACCACCTGTTGTATCAGGATGATGCTCTAATCAACTGAGCTACGTGGCCAGAGCAGTACTCCTATATAGAGTTTCAAAGTTTTATTTGGTCTTTTTTCCAATTTGTTGCGTTTCTTCCAGAGTATTTTATCCTTCGTGCAGCTAGTGTAAATGGTGCCGCCACATAAGATTGCTGTGAGGATTCGATAGGTCAACATACAAAGCACTTACTAGTAGACTGACCCTGACATATACAGGAAGTGTCATAGAAGTGCTCGCTATGGCTGTCCTCCAACTGGCTGTTGTTTAAATGTGGGTCATAGTAGTTGTGTCTCGATTGCTGCCCAGTTGCTGTTCAGGTGAAGCCGGGGCAGAACTGGACCTTAGGGCATCATTTTAACAGTGTTAACCTAAAAAGAAAAGGCCAACGTGAGAGGCAACAAGAGAAACCCCAAGGGTTGTGGTTAGGAGACTAAGGCAAGGGATATTTATGAGAAACGGAAGGGCAACATTTACATCAATAAGAAGGAAGGGAGGGTAACATAATGATGCTACTTCTAAAGAATTTTCTTTATTTCCAGTCCGAAGTCACAGTATCTGCTTTCTCCTCATTTTTTTTGCAAACGTTGTTTGAGATATAATGTTGTTGTAGGCCCAGTCCGAAGGTTAGTGCCCTGTTTTCACATTCTAAAGGTCTGAGGGGTGGGAGGGGCAAGGCAGTTCTGACCCCATTGGGAAGTGGCCCTGTTTAAGTTATTTTTACAACAGGAAAGTACAGCGTGCCAATAACAGACCTGTCCCACACTCAGTTCTCAGTCCTCTTAGAGATGCCCTATCCCCACTCATCTGCCCCAGAACTGGGGTTTTATCCTCATTGGTCTATCTTTTTTTTTTTAATTCTTTATTGTTTAAAGTGTTACATAAGTCTCCTTTTTTCCCCATTGACCTCTCCCCAGCCACTCCACATCCTAGCACATGCCCTTACCCCCCTACTGTCTGTGTCCATTGGTTAAGCTCATATGCATGCATACAAGTCCTTTGGTTGATCTCTTACCCATCACCCCCCGCCTTCCCTCATAGGTTGGACAGTCTGTTCAATGCTTCTATGACTCCAGTTCTATTTTTGTTCATCAGTTTATGTTGTTCATTATATCCCACATATGAGTGAGATCATATGATATTTATCTGTCTCCGACTGGCTTATTTCACTTAGCATAATGCTTTCCAATTCCATCCATGCTGTTGCAAATGGTAAGAATTCCTTCTTTTTTACAGCAGCATAGTATTCCATTGTGTAGATGTACCACAGTTTTTTAATCCACTCATCTGCTGATGGGCACTTAGGCTATTTCCAAATCTTAGCTATTGTAAATTGTGTGGCTATGAACATAGGGGTGCATATATCCTTTCTGATTGGTGTTTCTGGTTTCTTGGGATATAGTCCTAGAAGTGGGATGGATTACTGGGTCAAATGAAAGTTCCATTTTTAATTTTTTGAGGAAACGCTATGTTGTTTTCCACAGTGGTTGCACCAGTCTGCATTCCCACCAGCAGTCTCACTGGCCTGTCTTACCCTGGAACTATTTGGTTCTAATACCCAATCATTAGAAACAAGGATATAATTATTATTGCCTTATGTGTTCTCTCTTGCTTAGAAAATGAAGCTTAATATTCCTAGGAATCAGCGTATTCCTGTGGGCAATAGCATACTCCAATACAATACAAATAACATTTGCTGTTTACTCTTCAGAAACAATTGCTCTCTGTGTATCCGTGAGCTAAGCCACATAACGAACTGCCCCAAAACTTAGTAGCTTAATAACCACCATTTAAGTTTGCTTACAGCAGGGGTCCTCAAACTTTTTAAACAGGGGGGCAGTTCACTGTCCCTCAGACCGTTGGAGGGCCGGGCTATAGTTTAAAAAAAAAAAAAAACTATAAACAAATTCCTATGCACACTGCACATATCTTATTTTGAAGTAAAAAAAACAAAACAGGAACAAATACAATGTTTGTATTTGCATGTGGCCCGCGGGCCATAGTTTGAGGACCCCTGGCTTACAGTCTACAGGTTGGCTGGGTTGTTCTGCAGACCTGGAACAGCCTCAACTAATCTCAGCTGGCCTCGCTCATGCATCTGTGGTCAGCTAGAGGGGGAGCTACAGACTGGTCTAGAATGGCCTCCCTTGCAAGTCTGGTTGTCAGCAGGGGCAGTGAATTTGACTGGGCTATCTCTGTCATCAACCGCAGGTAACCTTGGATTTGTCCCCATGGTGCAGACAGAGTTCTGAGAGAGCAGAGGTGTATAGGGCTTCTTGAGACCTATGCTCAGAACTGGCACAGCACCACTCTCCGCCACAGTCTGTGAGCCAAAGCGAGATGACAGGCCAGCCGGAATCAAGGGTGGGGAGTGGACCCCTCCTCTTGGTGGGCAGGACTGCAAAGTCATAAAGGGAACCCTGAAAAATGAGTCACAATCAATCTAACACTCTCCCCACACCAAGGCGAGAATGCTCTCAGCATTGATTTCCTTTCAGCAAAGGTTGCTTGTCTCACCAGCAGCCCACTTGGGAACTGGTTCAGGGGAAAGATCCATTACCCTCGTTTGCATATGTTTCACTTTCAGAGGCTGCCATTTCTGACAGTGAGCCCACATCTGAGTCTGTTTGGGAGTGTGATTCCCTACACCAGCTGTCAGGATGATCCATTTCTCTCTCCGTCCTGGTTCCTGAGAGCAGTTGCTCACTTTGGTGGCGTTTTCCAGTCTAGATTTACCAAAGACTCTGAGGACAGTTAGTTCTCAGCTAGTGGTTGAATAAATCTTTGTTAACGTATCGACTCAATCAATCACAGGCTAATTAACTCCAAGTCCTGTTAGAAGCGATCGAAGTGTCATTTCTCATGGTCAGAAAGGAGGTGGAGACAGCTTGGAGGTAGTCCAGTCATCTTCTCCCGCTTCTGGCATCTCTGCCCTTAAAAAGCACTGAGTCAGGACTGTGGGTGCCTGGGGCCAGGCAGGAACAGTCTTCCTCTGCCATGGCTTCTATTTGTCTTCTCACCCCTATTTGTCAGAACTGCCGTCCCTGAAGAGGGTTACCTAGTGGCCTGGGCCAGGCTAAGGAGAAGCGGGAGGCTGTACACTGCTGCTCCCCTCCCACACGGCATCGCTGCGCTCCCCTCCTCCACTCAGCCCAGGGGGAAAACAGAGCAGCCCAGGCCTCACCCTGGATCCTAATACAGGAAACCAGAAGGAACGGCCACTCCTGGGGGGTGGAAGTGAAGAAAATACTCCTAGAAATAGGGAACGGCAAAAGTTCTGTTCAAGCCAGGAAAGCAACACTAACCAGTATTCGTGACTAGGCTTGGCATTTACAACTAAGGAGCATATGGTAATAACATTGTGCATATCATTATGTATTTAAAGTTATTTTTGCTCTGTTTTACTTGATCATATTAGACTTCCCTCCTATATTCTGTGTTTGCGGCATAAATAAAATGTCATATTATATCATGTTTAAAATTTTTGGTATGATCCAACTGGGTAAAAATATATATACATGTATGAAGGCATATATATACATGTATATATACATATGTATACATGTATACCTATATTTGTATATATGCATGTAGTACATGTACATGTGTGTATGCACATATATGATTTGTAATATTTATACATTTTAGCATAAGATGTGTATTTATTATCATATCTACATATATGTAAATTTTATATAAACAATATGTAACTATATATAAAATAAAAGACATATTTTTTCTACCTTATATAGCTAAGTATAAGTATATATGTATACTTACATTTTTGTTGAAAAATGACTGAAAGGATGCATAAGAATTGGATAATAATGATTTCACCTAGGGGGATTTTTCATTTTCCTTTTCATATATTTTGACTTTTTAAAAGCAGTTCATTTGTAAATGTTACCTCTTCACGTTTTTTCTCATCACCTTATTCCCAGCTTAAATTGTAAGTTCGGCTGACTTTATATACTGAATCCTTACTGGGGAAAAAAATATTCTTGGTGCCTCACTAGAGGGTAGTGGTTTTCATGGGCAGACAGAACCGAATCCAGTCATTTGAGCTGCTGAGGAAGCTCAAGTCCAGTCCCCCGGGATCGGAAACCCCCAACACCTGGCAGGACCCACTTCAGCCCCTGGTTCCCGCGGGCGTGGGCGTTGGCAGCATCTCTTCTGTCCTCCCCCAGGGCCGAGGCGGCAAAGGCAGCATCTATGTGTGGGCCTCTGGGGACGGTGGCAGCTACGACGACTGCAACTGCGATGGCTATGCCTCAAGCATGTGGACCATCTCCATCAACTCAGCCATCAACGACGGTAGGACAGCCTTGTACGACGAAAGCTGCTCCTCCACCTTGGCCTCCACCTTCAGCAACGGCAGAAAGAGGAACCCCGAGGCTGGAGTGGTGAGTGAGGCCACTGGCCCTCTGTGAGGCTGTGGAATGTAAGTTACTGTGACGTCATGCACGGACACCGTGACGTCATGGGAGGAAAGGGAGTTACCCACTTCCCTAAAAAGTCAGCACAGGTTCTGAGAGGAGATCCATTCTCCTCCAGGCCTAATAATGCTTTGTTATCAAGGTAGAGAAATGTAAGACATGAAAATATATATAAAAGGTATAACTATTTTTTCTATCTTATATAGCTAAGTATAAATATATATGTATACTTACATTTTTGTTGAAAAATGACTGAAAGGATGCATAAAAAATGGATAATAATGATTTCACCTAGGGGGATGTTTTTTGAAAGTAAGGACGTGATGACCCCCTTGCAGCTCATTTTCCACAGATTGTCTTTCTTGAAGTTTATTGTTTGATTTGCAAATGATGACAAAGCCTGCTTTATCAAAAAGTTGCCCCGCCAGATCACTCATAAAGAAAACTAATATAAAGAACTGGGTCACCACATCACCACCCACCTGAGCCAAGTATTACAGTAATTTTTTTTAAATCCAAGGATGGACTTTTCTGGGTCTATAAACCTCCCAAAATCAGGTACAGGTGTATTTTCTCAGGGAAAGAGTAGTAGTTTTCATCATAGGTCAGTGATTGAGAAAACAAAATATTAAGAATCACAAACTTAGATTTTTTTTTAATATATTTTATTGATTTTTTACAGAGAGGAAGGGAGAGGGATAGAGAGAAACATCGATGAGAGAGAAACATCGATCAGCTGCCTCCTGCACACTCCCTACTGGGTATGTGTCCACAACCAAGGTATGTGCCCTTGAACAGAATCAAACCTGGGACCCTTGAGTCCGGAGGCCAACGCTCTATCCACTGAGCCAAACCGGTTAGGGCAGATTTTTTAATATTTTTAATTGATTTTTAGAGAGAGAGGGAGGGAGAGGGGGATAGAGAAACATTGATATGAAAGCAAAACATAGATCCGTGCTCTACGCCCCCTATTGGGGACCAAGCCCAAAACCCAGGCAAGTGCCCTGACAGACTGGGAATAGAACCAGCAACCTTTCCTTGCACAGGACAACACCCAACCAACCAAGCCACATTGGCCAGGGCCAGACTTAGATTATTAATTGCACTTTTCTGAGCAACTCTTCCTTGCTGGGCAACTAGGTAAAATGGTGAATTTTCCAAACCCCTTGGAAATAAATCTCTGTAGAGTGTAATGAACCTTTTTGGATCTCTTCCTCTCTCTGGATCGTTCACTCACAGATCAGCCTTTCCTCGGACCTCCAAGCCAAGAATTTGGGAGATGGTTCAATAGACCCACTGAGTTAGTTACACGCTTCCCTACAGACAAACAGAGGAAGAAGGAGAATTCCTGTGGTTCATACATGATTCTAATGAAAATCTGGCCCTCCCAAACATTGAAAGTGAGGTTTTTCTCTTTGTGAAAGTTCTTTAAAACTCGGTTGATCATTGAGAAGATCTCCCCTTTAAGAAGAGTTGTGGAGGTGACCACTCACGTATCCGTTATCTTGGCTCCAAATGTCTCAGAATCTTCCCATGAATTTCAGAGGGAGAGAAACATTTTCTTTTTAATGGCCTGTCCTTTTCGGCCAGCCTCAGCTGAGCCGGAGTATTCTTCCCTCTTTTGTATAGTGCCTGAATGGAAAAGAAATGTTAATGCAGTAGCCCTTGGGCTTTCTGAAAGATGACCCCAGTGCAATAAAACTCTTGGCTTGGGCCTCTCCACCTATCGTGTCTCATTGTAGAATCCAGAAAATGTCTCCCTAGTCTCTGGAATAGCTGCAGATAGTGCTTCTCAGAGCAACTAGCTTGCTTTTATCTTGTGGACACTGTAACTCTAATTGATTGTGTGTCTCTTTTTGCATAGGCTACTAGGAAACTCAGATAAAATGCATGGTTCAAATAGATATATGGGTGCTAAATTTAGCTTTACCTTCATCTTAATCTTCTTCAGAACAAGGAAGAATTTAAATTAAAAAAAAAAAAATAGATAATTCTCTGCTCCATACTGTTTTGGGATTCAAAATAGTGTGACTCATTGCTCAATATCTTCCCTTTCAGGCAACCACAGACTTGTATGGCAACTGCACTCTGAGGCATTCTGGGACATCTGCAGCAGCTCCAGAGGCCGCGGGAGTGTTTGCTCTGGCTTTAGAGGCTAAGTATGTTTCCAGCTCGGGCTGAGGGTCAGCTCTGTAAGGTGGACTAACATGTGTCTCTCCATCCAACACTAGGTGTCCATGGAGGCAAAAGTGGATGCAAGAGCCTTCCAACAGTCAGGGTCAATGAACTCTGGTGGGCATTTATAAATGAACCATGGTTCCTAAGTCACACAGACACACACACACACACACACACACACACACACACCACAAAACTACAATAGGCCCACTGAGAATCCTGCAGACAAACAGAGGAAGGAGAATTCCTGTGGTTCAGACATGGTTTTATTGAAAACCTGGCTCTCATAAACATTGAAAGTGAGTGTGAAAGTTCTTTGAAACTCAGATCATCATTAAGGTCTCCCACTTAAGAAAAGTTATGCAGGTGATCACACATATCCATTATATTAACTCAACATGTCTCAGAATCTCTCCATGAGTTTTTGATGTAGGGTAACATTTTTTGTTTATTTACTTGTTAATCCTCACCTGAGGATATTTTTCCATTGATTTTTAGAGAGAGTGAAAGGGAGGGAGAGAGATAGAGAGAGAAAAACATTGATGTGAGAGAGACACATCAATTGGTTGCCTCCTGCACGTGCCCTGACCAGGGCCAGGGAGCGAGCCCACAACCCAGGTACATGCTCTTGACCAGAATAGAACCCAGGACCCTTCAGTCTGTGGGCCGATGCTCAATCCACTGAGCCAAACTGGCTAGGACGAGAAACATTTTTTTTAATGGCTTGTCCTTTTAGGCAAGCTTGAGCTGAGCCTGTTTATTCTTCCCTCTTTGGGAGTGCCTTGCCTTCCTGAACAGAAAAGAAATGCTGATACAATCCCCCTAGGAGAGCACAGGACACTGACACCCCTCCACACATATCAGCTACTTGCTCATATACCAAATAGGGGCATGTAGGTTGTCTCTTCTTCATAAAAACTTCTCTTTATCCTCTGATCCCGTGGCTATTTTATTCCAATAATACTCACCATCAGCTAAATGAAATAAAGCCATTTTCAAGCTGGGTATCTAGCAAGGTATTCCCAACATGTGTCCAACAGGGTGCTCCAACTAAAGATTTGTTAACTTATAAGGTGAATTCACTTTTAACACTGAGACAAGTTGGGAAAAGTCATGCAGTATCGACCAAGAAATGGTCTTTACTGGGCAACCTTCCACGCTACAGGTAAGAGGAGACCATCTCTGTTCTCACCATTCCACAGAGAGGCCACATATCCCTACTGCTGGGCACACTTTCGATATAAGTTTCAGCTGAGGTACTTGACAACCTGCTACTCTATATTCTCTTGGTGCAAACCAGAGACTAGCCTTGTTTTTGAACAGTAAACATGTGGCTTCGGGCACCATGCACTCGGTGTGAGTGCAAATGCCCACCATGTAGGAAGTTGTGTGAAACTGCTGCATCAGCCACTTGTGAGAAGTTGGATTCATGTTCCTGGGGAAGCAGAGTAGAGTCTCTACCTCCCACCCCTCCTCAGCTGTTGCTAGGCAACTGGAGCTTTGAGCATCAATTTCGAGGCAGCCCTGCTTGTCTCTCTCCACAAATGCATTTTTTGACTTGCAAAAGGGGCAAGAGTTGATTCCTAGAATAGGAAGAGACTTTGAAAGATTATCTAGTCCAGCCCTCTGCCTTCAAGCTGAAAAGGCATAAATATCCTCCTTTTACAGTTAAGGCCCCAAATTGAGAGTGACTCCCTCTTTTGGGACCAAGCCAAACTTCAATTCTTGTAACAAAACTCAAGTGGAAATTTTAAGACACCAAGGGATAGACACCGATCAAAGAGTTTCTATTAAGCGCAGAGACCAAAACCTACTCACAGATTATATGCATTTCCTGTTCATCTCAGAGCTTGTTGTGCCCTGGAGCCTGAGCTGGCTTTGCTCACTCCAGCTGGGAGCAGACAAGCAGGCGAGCCTGCTGCCTGCCACTGAGCCTGGCAGAGAACAGGGAGCAGGAGAACTCCAAAAGCAAGAAGGGGTTTCTGGTCTCCCTCTAAATCTAAGAGGGCAGAACTTCACTCAAAGTCATGCAAAGGAACAACGCAAATTGATGGAGCAAGGCTACTGGATTCATGGGTTCTGCACCAGCTTTCTTGAGCACACACTTGTAGATACCCTTCCAGAATAGAGTGCAGTCACCACTTAGGCACACTCTATTTTAGAGCAATGGTCATGAATTTAATGCTCTCTATTGCCATGAAGCAGCGAAGAATGACGGCTGGAAGTAAGTGGTTCAAGCCCATCATGAGAGCCAGCCCTAAAATCCCTCAGAATACCAACTGCCTGAGTTGGAAGCACACGCGGAGGTGAGTTTCCTGCAAGTGGTTTCTAAAGGAAGAGACCAGAAGGAAGTAGAGGAAGCAGGTTAGGGACAGGGAGAAGCCAAGCAAGTATGCAGTTTGAGGAGTTCTGGCCTCAGCTTGATCCCATGGGGAACTCTGGAGTATAAATGTTTATGCCTCAGAGATTGTTTTCCCTCGAGGCGAGGGAGCTGGGCTGCCATGTTCTTGTGCTAAGAGCCATGCCTGGGAGCATGTCTGGCTTTAGGCACCTGTGGGCAAAGGGACCCCAGTAGCCAGCAGTGAAAAACACTGGTCAGCATGAAATATCCCCAAAAAAAGCCCAGAGGGATGAGGAGGGGAAAGCTCTCCAGGAACAGTTCCTACTGCTCTCCTCTGCCTGAGACAAGACAACTGGGAGTCCTCGGTGACGGTGACACATGTGACAGCAATCAAGGGCTCTTTCCCTCCCAGAGGCCCAATAAAACACTTTTACGAAGCAATGTGAATGCAGTAAACAAATTATCCTGTCTCACTGAATACCCCTCGGGACTGTGAAAGAGGAAGAACAACCACCCCATCATTCCAGGGGGAAAAGGGAAACCCTTCCTTTGTCCTGCCCAATCACCACTGTTTTCCAATATTATAAAGTGCTTTTTTGCCAACTGCTTGAAAGTGGCTTATTGAGTCACAGAAAGATTGTTCACATGTCCCCGTGTGACCATTAGAGGAAATTTCAAAGAATTTCTTTAATGGGAGCATGTGGGCAGAGGAGGGAGGGATAACTGCTATCTTCAAATATTTTGGGTTCTTCCATGACTGTCTGTGTTGTTCGGACTGAAGTAGGTTTGAGGAGCAGATGTCATAAAGAGGCAAATTTTTGGCTCCAAAGAAGCATCCATAGTAAAATGGCCCACTAGAACAAGCCTGTCAAACTCAAAGGCTAACACGGGCCAAATAAGAGAGGCATGCGGCCCACAGGCTGCGAGTTTGAATGCTTGGTCTAGAACAATGTTTCCAAAACTGACCTTCCAGGGCATGGGTTTTTACATGTAAACTCTTTATCAAAGTATAATAGACACTGAGAAAAGTGTACAGATATTAGGTATAACTCAATGACTTCTTACAAGGTTAACAGACCCATGTAACCAGCACCCAAATCAAGAAAAAGACTGTTACCTACGTCTAAGTACCAGTCTCTTTTACTCTGAAAGTCTGAGAGATTCCTCCATGCTGTTGTTTCTGGTTATAAGTCGTTCATACTCATTGTAGAATATTACTCCATTATAAATGGGTAGTTGAGTTGTTTCCACTTTGGGGCTATTATGAGTAATATTTCTATGAACATTCTTGTACATGTCTTTTGGTGAAGCTAAGGACACGTTTCTGTTGGGTATTTTCTAGGGCAGTGATGGCGAACCTTTTGAGCTCGGCATGTCAGCATTTTGAAAAACCCTAATTTAACTCTGGTGCCGTGTCACATATAGAAATTTTTTGATATTTGCAACCATAGTGAAACAAAGACTTATATTTTTGATATTTATTTTATATACTTAAATGCCATTTAACAAAGAAAAATCAACCAAAAAAATGAGTTCTCATGTCACCTCTGACACGCGTGTCATAGGTTCACCATCACTATTTTAGGGAGTCAAAATGCTGAGTCAGGGGTATACATATGTGCAGCTCTAGTGGATACTGCCAAGTAGTTTTCAAAGTGAATTTACCCACTGACACTTCCTCCAGCAGTGTATGAGAGTTAGAGTTGTCCCACATCCCTGCCAACATTGGGTATTGTCAGTCTTCTACACTTTAGCCATGCTTATGGGTGTGCAGTGGAATTGCATTGTAGTTTTTAATTTGCATTTCCCTGATAACTAGTGAAGTTGAGCACGAGGGGGAGTTGGAAAATAATAGATTCCCAACTCTCTGCCAAGAGTCACTGAACACAAGTCCCTGGGAATGAATGGCCCAGGAATTTGTCTTTTCAACCCCACTCAAGGGGCTACATAAGCAGCCAGCCCATTGCTGTTCTGTGGACTGGGGGGGGGGGGGGGGGGGGGGCGCGCGGGGGGGGGGGGGGGGGGCACCCAGTAAGGCAATGGCTCTATGAACCAGGGTGTTGTTGTGCAGAATTTGAATATCTAGACTCAGCCTCTGATTGGGTGCTGGTATTAGATGAAGATTGAAAACAGGACATTTGAATAACAATAGATAAATAAAAAAGGGTTTATTATCCTGTCATGAGAAAGATAATACAGAGGTAAGGAGTCCAGGCAAGTATGGGGGGGTGCCACCGGGAATCAGGCAATCCAGCTTTTTCTGGATTTCTCCTCTTCCACCTTCGTGTTCTATAGGTGCTTCTGGAGCTCCAACCATTGTGTTTACATTTCAGGCAGAAAAAAGGGAGGAGCAAAGGGGAAAAAAAAAAATCCACCAGCTAAGTCAGCCCCATTTAAAGGTTTTTCAAAAAAACTCTGCCCAGTGGCTTCTGCTCATTTCTCATTGGCCAGACTGTCATATGACCACCCCAGACTGCAAGAGAGGCTGGGAAATGTAGTTTTATAGCTGATAACATTGCTGTTCTGAATAAAATTGGGTTTTCTTAATAAACTAGAAGGATAGATATGATAGAATTGCTAGTGTCTTCCAGCAACTAAGTGGGCAATCACTCACTTCCTATGGATCTCTATTGTCTTATC